TAGAAGAAGTTCAAAATGTAAAAAGTTAACGCCTACGACGGACGACGACGGACGACGCCAGACGACGGACGCCAAGTGATGAGAAAAGCTCACTTGGCCCTTCAGGCCAGGTGAGCTAATAAATTAAACAACTAAATATTTGAATTTTTAAACTTTATTATTGTATCTCAGTCAGAATGAGCAAGGAATATACAGACCACAATATTAACAGTGAGATCCACATATGATTATCTCCCCTTACAATGAGACAGATTATTGGTTAAAACATAACAGGTTAAAAGGTCATACATTTAGAGCAATGATACTGGTCCATGTTTATAGAGAACATCAAATTGAACAATACAAACAGAAATGCAAAGAAAATGATAATAATAATTGTACTTCTAGTCTAATATTGGGTTCCAAATACTGTTATTCAGATAAACACTAATTTCAACAAGTTTTTATGTTTTGATTTTTGATTGTGTATCAATAATGAACACTGAACTCTTAAACTATGTTCAGAGCTAAACTACAGCTTGTAAAATCTGCGGATAAAAATGTTAACTTCAGATTGGATAGTGTAAGTGTCAACATGTATAACCTATATATCAAACTTATTTTTTGAAATCCAGGTTCTCAAATCATTCTTATCTAAGATTCAAACCTTACTTACTTATTTAAATTTCAATCCTATGATTGCATTATTTTTCTATAAGTAAACAAAATATGGAAACAATATATCTACACATTTGCATCGAAAAAGAATTACTATTGCACATTTCAGAGTTACATTCTTTCTTAACAGAAATCTCTTAAAAAAACAAATTAAATTCAAGTTGAATTTAAAAAAAGAAAATAAAAACAGAAATTACTACATTTGTACTACACTTGCAAGACTTTTATATATTTGTTTTTTTTATGGAGGAAAACTCAGGGTTTAGGGACTTTAAATAATTACTGCTATCTTTGCGTCAGCCATTTTCATTAATATGCTACTAAGCAACACAGATTCTTCAAATTCCACATCACTTTAATGCTAACATGAAGTCAATGTAACTTATTTGGCAATTTATATAAAAAAAATACAGTTTGCAATGATAACTTGTAAATTTCTTTTTTTGGAGGGTTGCAAGACATAATCTACATTTTGTAATGGTGGGGAAATTAAATTTTTTCTGAAATTCTTCCAAGTTTTCAGAGTTTCTGAAAAATTTGAATAATTATGTGTAACTTCCCATGCCCATCATCAGCTTAAAGAAGAACAAATAGTATTTCTCTATTTTGTGATACTTCTACCATTGAGAAATCTCTGATCCATCACTAGTGATTTCAAGTTACCTCCCTTTCCCAATGTCTATCCCCTTAAATAACATACAATGTAGTTTACATTCATAAGTATATACTTAAAGTTGCTGTCAATTACAATAATCCAAATACCAATTGGCAAAGTGGAGATATGTTTTTAAATTTTAACACAAACATTTATAAGCAATACATTAAAATTGAGAAAGTCATCATAAAAGTCAGTGCATCTACCTCACAAATATTTCATTGTCCCCACATCCAGGATGTAGAATGGTCTTGAGATAAAATTCTGTACCGAAAAACTCTAAACATTACATCTGTCTAAGATAAAAGTTACATTTGCAATGGTAATTCTTCTGAGAAAAAACCATACATAATCAATCTTTATGTACTAATATCTTACAAGACATTTACTAAAGCACCATGTACTCTGAAGGTTACAATATATTTATTCCTGAATATTATATCATTATGAATACACAACATTTAGTTTCATATTTTAAATTCTTCATTTAATCTGCATGTAAAAGTCGACCTTTTGATTGTCTTATCAGCATTAATGGTCGTTTGTTTTCCACCGTAATCATTCATATATCATTTTAACTCAGGATAAAGAATTAAATGAAGTTTGTGCAACCCCGTCCAGGAATAAATCTAATGGTCCTATTTCAATCAAATAAAAGAATGCATTTGGCCTTTGAAAAAACTGAAAACATATAAGCCAGTTATCAAAGGACTTAAAAGATTTCCTGAAGCTGGCAAACTTTAAAGCACCATTTATACATTCAAGCTAACTATTGATCAAACATATGAATGACTTTGAATCAATGCATGGAAATGCTTTAAAATCAATGCATGGAAATGCTTTAAAATCAATGCAAAGAAATGCTTTAAAAACAGATGCAATGGAGATTTTGAAATAGTTACAAGATGAGATGTTTAATGTATGAAAAATATGATTATAACAGAAATTTAATAAATATATTATGCAAATATCACATGATTTATTATGAACTGCTACTTAAAAATGTTAATGGTTCATCTGTTTATAAAATCTCAGCATAATTCAATACTGTAAATTCAGAAATTATTGTGATGTTTTTATTATTGCGTAAAATGCGACAGGGTTATAATCGCAATAATTTAAACTCGCATTTTGAAATTTTTTATATGAATTAAACAGGATTTTTTTGTTACAAAATTGCAATAATAAATGCACGCAATAATTTCTGAATTTACAGTATTAAAAAGTCTTTTTTACAAGATTATGACATACATTGGAAAAAAATTATTTTACAAATTTATACTTTCATAACAGAGTTAATGTTATGCATAGGAAAAACCCACAGAAATCATTTAAATATAAGCTGAACTATTCCATTGAGTACTAATGATTCTGAGAAAGCTTCATTGAAATTATGTCAGTGATTTCAGATAAGTTGCAAATACAAAATGTCTTTCCCCTTCGTAGATATGGCAAAGTTCATGTTATGCAATAAGAATCCCACCAAAAAGTCATTCAACATTGGAATGTTAATAGGATTGTCTGAAGTTACATTAATATCAAATCACTGGTTAAGATATGTGAATGTATAGCTCAACAAATTTACATGGGGGTCAAGATAAACCACTAACTTCACCAAAAGGAGATATAAAAGTGAAATGCTCAAAATTACTTTTAACCTCATAGTGTCAAGGTCAATTGTTAAAGGTTGAAATTTTCTTTGTCAAGAAATTCACATGCTACGGTTCTCTGTATGATAGTAATGTTAATTAAGCATTCATGTTACTCTGGGCTCTGGAGACAATGTTAATAAAAGGAGTAGTTTCTAATACAGCGACTCGTTTCACAAAAAATCTTATGATTAAAATTGAGTCAAAGTTTGTACTGAAATGTTCATGACTTCTGAATATTTTTACTCTTAAGATTTTTTTTCAGGATAGTAGGACTTTTTAATTTAGGATTGTTAAGGGTTGCTATTGAAATAAATTCTTCTCTTATGAATGACATTATACAGTTATAAATATAATTTCTCAGTTCAAATATCGAACTATGATATACTTATGACATAAAAACTTTAAAATATACAACATTGTAAAGTATTGGTTATTAATACTGATGATAATACACAAGTATGTAAGGGCTATTCCATTAAAATGTGTATGGGAGGGTAGGAAGTATCTTTCAAAATATCCCTACAACCAAGAACCATTTTTCAGATAATTTGCATAATGGTAAAAGACGCATACTGAAAAAAGACCCATGGCCCACATTCAACAATTAAACTTCCCTTCCTACCCTCCCACTCACATTTTAATGGAATAGCCCTAAACAAGAGGGACTTGTTATTAATGTTTAAGCAAATATTAATAACTGTGATTGAAATTAGGGTAAAACCTTTTCCAAAAAGTATCATAACTTTAGGTAACAATAGAGATATTTTATACAAGAATAATCATATATACCTTTTATTTTGATTAACATTTTACATATTTCTTTATTTTATTCTAAATAAGTAATTTTCAGCTTATTTTTGTCAAGTTGATGTTTTTCTTTCCAATTCCACTTTTTCAGCATTTTAGGAACGTGACTTAAAAAACTAATTTTACATGAAATTAAAAATTGTTTGATTTAAATTCATCATAAGCACAATAAATCAAGAAAAGAAAATATATACAATTCACATTATAAATATCTTGTGCTCAGATAAACTGCTAGATTTTTTCAGACAACTAAAACTAAAATTTTAGCATCATCATTCAAATCTCTGGGGACATAGAAAAACTATTGCTATGCTTTTATTATTGCAAAAAATAGGATTTATATTTTTGCATAACCCCCTTTTTTTCAGACAAATATAATGCATATTGACTATATAAAAAAATATAAAAATAAATTAGCTGCAATAGCGCACTGTACATCTTTGGTAAAATATTAACATAATTGTTTTAATACATTAAAATGAACTTGCTAAGTTCTACAAGCTATATATGTATAAAACTGGCCATTATGCATACAGAAAAACACAATACCAAAAGCTAATCTTGTTTCAGAATAAGGCAAAATGGCTAATAAAAGTCAAATCTCATATGAAGTCTTTGCTGCCCTATTAAAATGGCATCTGTTGCAAAATCTTAAACAACATCACTTTTCCAGAAAAATAGCTAGAGTGGTTTCTGAACTTAAGATAAAAAAAAAGCAGGTTTACCGAGTTACCCATTCTTTCTCAATATGTTTTAAAAACACTTATAATTGGGACAAAATACTTCGAATTATTGTTATTTCGATAACTTGTCTAAACAGCCTAACCCTAACATACATTTCTTTCCATTCTTTTTTCATATGAAAAGTCTAGAGACTCTTTTCCTGTCATCAAACATTCCCATTCTATTGCAAAAGCTTTTAGTTTGAAAACATTCACAAATCGGTATTTTCCGTAATTTTGTTGCATATGCATTATTTATTAATAGGGACTTGTAGAAATGTGTTTATTTTGTATTTTTGCAGCAAAAATCTTTAATTTACATACAAAGCATGTTACCATGGTTACTCATTCATTCAACATGTTCAATGCAAATTAAAAAAAATTGATTGTGCCTATGAAAAATTAAGGACACACATGTATTATGCATAAATGATATTGTCTACGACATAGATCTTTGGCATTTTAATGCCTCAAATTTTCTTTCACCCTCTGCTATACAATTTCTTGCAGTCTGACCACAAAATTTTAAATCCTCAAGCATTGGAAATTTAAAATTAAGAATATCAGACAATTCAACATCATTAACATTTACTTTATCAATAAAAATTGATAAATAACAATTTGCAAAAATCGAAAATTATGGTAAAGAAAAATGATATCCATCCGGTATAAGTAAATTGTGTTACAGATATTAAAATAACCACATCATCAAGTTATCTCCCTTTTCTAGCATTCCCTTTGTATCCACTTTATCCACAGTAGCACCATCAGTGACAAATTTGTGTAAATCTCTTCTCTTTTTCCTCCCTTTTTCATGACTTGCTGTCAACTTCAAAGTATTTGTATATAGATGTAACATAAGACATAACCGCCTGCCAATCAGGTCTCTCTATTGATACCATGTCATTTATGTGCTGTTAAAAGAAAAAAAATTGTGAACAAATTTAAAGACTAATGAATATACAGAAAAATTCAAAGCCTCCAAAAAAAAGTTACATTACCACTGATATATATATTTAAACTTCTTGCAGAATATACACACTGCAAAAATGGCAACATTTTACAATGAATAAAAAGATGCATTTAACCTTCATACAAAGGGTTTTCATAATTTTTAAGGTCTGCAGATGTTTTACTCCTTTAACTGAAATGGTTATCTCCCTTGCTACAATCATAAAATTTTATCTGAACTCTTTTGTCAGTTTGCATTTTGATCAGCTATCACTCATATTGTTTATATCTCATTATATTTAATAATAGTTCACATTTATCAAAAAAAAGTCTTAACATCCACTTCATTTGAACTTTGGTGGATAGTTGTCTCATTGGCAATCATACCGCATCTCCTTATTTTTATAAACAATAGATGTTGATCTCTCCTTGATGTTTAACCTTCAAACTGAAACTATGACCTTTTCTCTCTTGATTTGATGGATGGTGTTTAACACCAATTTCAGCACTAATGGCTAAAGCTGTCAGTTTGCATTGGTGGAGAAAGCTGGTGTCCACAGAGAACCACAGACCTTCAACAGGAAAACTGACAATCCGTAAATTAAGATTGGTTTCGAACAGAGTTGACAGGCTAGTAGTACAGTAAATGAACTACTTAGACCACTTGGCCACAGAGGCCCCTCTCTTGATTTGTAAAAAAAGATTTTCTTTAGGAAAACAAAGCAACCGTTGCCTCACACCTTATCAATGATTCTTTAAGATAAATATATATATATATATATACTTACCAGGACAGAAGAATTTATTCCTACACTCTCTGCAGCTGCAAATGCCAGTGTAAAATTCTTTCTCTGAAAAAAAAAACAACATTTAAAACTGAATTGTCCTTTACTAACAGAGAAAATTTTTAGTTCATTTTCTGTTTAATACAAATTATTCCAAATTGTCCATATATATATACATATATAACCATGATAACAGTCCTGCAAAAATATTATTTTTTTCATAAACAGTAACGACTAAAAATCTGAGATACTGTGGATTCATCAATATTCGTCAAGTACACATTTTCATCAGTGTAGGAGAACCACAAATTCAAGTGTTAAACGTAATAAAAGTTTTGTGTGATGAATTTGTCAAAACTATGAAAACTTTGAAGTCCACAAATTTTTCCTTAATCTAGGATAGGTACCAATGAAAATAAATTAGTCCAGAGTAATTCATATAGCATTGGTACTAGAGATCTCTGAGATTTTCTGTTTAATGTTTCATAGATTACACAACAACTGTTTTTTGTACACATGTTGAGTACACAAGCTTAAAATTGACAGGTCAATATTTTCTGACTAAAACTGATAACTGTCATTCCAAGGTAGATATTCATGTTGAATTTGAAGACCTGAGAAAACGGTGGATCCTCTTCAAAACTGGATAGGGATGTAAAACCCTTGGTAAAGTGTGGCGTCCATTTGGCTGTGCAGGATTTATAAATTTGCAGCCACCTCCAGATGGATTGGGGATGTCAAATCTGATGCCTTGTGTAGGGTGAGTGCTATCCTCTAAAGACGTTAAAGAACTGTTGCAACACCTCTCTGAGGGGTCCATAGGTAGCCTGTTGCAATGGAAGGCAAAATTTCTGCCTCCTCATCATACCCTTATTTTCCATTGGCCATCCGAATTGCCATCTCTTCATCCAGAGTGTCCTTGTGGATCTACCTTTTGTCTTAATTGTTAGTTTGTTCTTGGCTTAATATGCATGAAAATAATTGTTATTGAGTGTTAAACAAGCAACAATCAATCAATCAATCAATCAATCAATCAAATTTTGAAAAAAATGTTGATGTACTTGTAGTAGTTCATTATCTCTTTCATTCATACTGCATAGTAAATATCAAATTCCTAAGAATAAATTGGTATATGAGACGGCAACCTAGCAATGCCATGAACCATAAAAAACCATCTACAGACAGATATCAACATATAATCTTGCATAGTAAATATCAAATTCCTAAGAATAAATTGGTATATGAGACGGCAACCTAGCAATGCCATGAACCATAAAAAACCATCTACAGACAGATATCAACATATAATCTTCAACAATAGACAAAATGTCTACACTATATATCAAGCTCTAAATTGGCTTGAATAAGAAACTTTTGGAACATGAAAGATGGACAATCAACATCCCATTATTAATGGGTCAAATAACATCACAAAAAGTCAATCACTACAAGATTCTTAACTTAAGGCGTAATAGCATATCAGAAACTGAAGATAATCTCAAAGTACTTGAAATCAACCCTTTGAATATGTCTAACACTCTAATGCTGTTTTTCATTATTTCATGTTCACCAATTTAGGAATATTCATAAGCATAATTAGGAAATTGTAATTTAGAATATATGTCTTTTTTTGTCTCTTTTTCTGTTCTATTTTTTTTTTTTTTTTAAGTTTATCATTAATCCTTATATAGATCTCTCAACATTTCTTTTATACTGTACCTTATCCTCCGAATTGAGTTCAGCATAAGGAATCTTTTCTGGAAGGTAACTATGGAGCAAGGCACAGAAAGCTAACCCATCGTTCCAGCTACTGCTAAAATTAGTTATGTCCACTCCCTGAAAAAAAAAGAACAGGATAAAAATATATGTTACACTCAACAATTGACATGATTAATACATTTATTTACTAATAATACAAATATTTTCCTGATGACAATGTAAAGCAGTAGGTCAATAACCTCTACAAATAATCTAGAAAATAACTTTAAATTTTAAGTTAACTTATGTTTTAAGCCATTGTAAAAAGAAATATGTGTGTTTACTGTCAATGGTTGAAAAAATAGGGTCAATAGGTCCTCAAAACTTTTGGTAATTGATTGGCAAACCCGGAAATAGACTTATTCACTTCCCGATTACTATCTGGTATTGCATTAACCTATATTTTCAGTTAGCAGCCATAGTTATTATTGTCAGTCAAATATGTTTTTACTCAGTTTTAGACCATATTTAGTTTGTGATTTTTGGCATTAAGCAAGCAATTCAACCTCACTGATAAGAATAATACCAAGGAAAACATAATTTGACCAATTTCAGTGAGAAAAAAAAGTTAGGGTAGGCTCTAAAATAGTCAGGTTAGTCAGGATACCATAAACACACATATTATTTTTTGGCCTTTAGATGTAAAATTTTAAGTACCAAAATAGGCCTGCCACATCTAAGCTGACCAGTCTGCACAGACTTTTCTTCATAATGTGACTTTCCTAAGTTAAACAGATGCAGATTATATGTTTTCTCGCTAGAATATATCTTCATATAGTGGTTTACATTTGAACAAATTCTCCATATTTTCATCACCGATTTTTTTCTTCACTAAGTGCTTTTTTCCAGAAATGATTGAGATTAAATTACTTAGGGTCAGGGCAAGACTATCTTTTGTGCGATTAATTCAACCATGCATAGAATTCTTAATGATAACGCCTATACTTGACTTCTTAAAAGATGACTTTCAAAAATCGCCTCCGCCTGTCATACCTATCAATTTTCAAAAGAAATTATCAACACACACCCTTTTCTCTCAATCAATATTTGTGAAACATTTTCTAAATTAACATATAAATTAACTAAAAATCTTGCATTTGTTGAATTTAGTTAGTGGTATATCACAAATAATGATGAATCCAAAATACAATGTATTTTTAAAATCCCTATATATACACAAAGTCACAATTACAAAGAATTATTTTGTGAACCAAAGATCAAAGCTAACAGGGCTAATTATGCTAATGACCCAGTAAATATTAAATAACTGAAATACTATGATAAAAAATTAATCTTCTGTTTGAGAATACCATATATACCAGTACAGAGAAGTAAAGGATTCATATATACAATAAAAAAGTGAGAGAAGATTATAAGTTAATTCCTTGAGAATTTCCTTCTTACAAAAACACAGATCATCCAAGGTATAAAGGACATGACAGTTTAATGCGACCTAATCACTCAGAAATGAATTAAATAAACACCCATTATCAGTCTGTAAAGAGGATTTATTCATATAGAAAAGCTTAATCACTTTGTTAATAAGCCAGGCATTTTAAACTTGTGACACATGTGGAATACATGTGTAAATAACTAGTAAATTTAATATTTCATAAAAACATAAATCCATAAAAGCTGTTGAACATGTTGAAATAAATCTATTCCTCTGAAATGGTTATGAGCTATTAATCAGCTGCATTCAGTCAACAATTTATGATACATTTTTTTCTTTTATGATTTATTTGACAAAAGTTCACACTGACTCATTTTTATGAGATTGCCAAAAGCAAAAACAGATCCATAGGAAACATACTCATGATACTAATTTTAGTATTTTCTCCACAAAATATTTCAGTGCATAAAAATGATATAATTTTTTCCAACATTTTCCTTCCTTGTTAAATTTAAGACAAGTCCAAGCTAAATGAAATTCAACCATATATCCCCAAAAAATCTGCCACTTTATCATGTTTATAATCAAATTTAACTGTTTAACACCTTTAAGCAATTTCATTGATTTTTATGCATTTCCTGGTTTGATATATATTCAAAAATCTAATCTGACCTAAAAACCTTTCCATTTTATTATCTCGCATGATGTACTGATTGATTTTGTTAGTTCTACCTCCAATGGCATGTACATATCATTCATGTTCAGTCGAGAACCAAATTTAGTATGCTCTGCAAAGTTAACTGATAAGAATGAAGGGCAAGAGATTTTGACTGCAACTGAAAAACAGGACATCTATAGGCAAAATGTTTGCTATAAAACAAGCAACCAATTGGCCCTAAAACATTTACTAGTTGCTTTAAGTAGAGAGAGTATGGCACCACCACCTGCCCCTCCCCAACATGGAGTATCAAATTTAAGTCCCCATTCTGACCAGACTTGCAAATGCCGTTGTGACAATTAATCTTTTCTTAACAAGCTTTCTGACATCTCAGACATGTCAGATGACATGTCAGATCTCTGCCATATGAAGTCTATAACACTTTGAGCTTACATTATACGGAAGTGTTTTTTGTTGACACCACTTCAACAGAGCATTCCTTTTGGAGCCTCCCATCTGTTTAGCCAAGCCTGTGAGAGGATCTTTAGAAGCACCTTCCTTCTTATCTGCCTCTATGCTGAAAAAGAATAAAGGAACTAATTTATACATAAAATAATAAGAAGATCATGAAGATGTGGTATGATTGCCAATGAGGCAACTCTCTACTTGAGACCAAATAGCAAAGAAGTTTTCTTTGACAATCCTGGTATAAAATTTTGTAAATATAAAACTCAAGCAACACATTGGATGGCAGAATCAACTCCAACTAGTGTAAGATTTTCATTATTTTACTGTACTTGACAATGTAACTTAAAGTACTGATAACTAGATTTTTGTGGTGGTAAACAAGCAAAGTTTAGTTAATTCATTATTTGATGACTTTTTAGTTGTTATATATTGATAGACTGTCACTTATAAATAATACCAGTAATACATGTAGTAACAAAACAAGATTCTCATTCTTTTACTGTACTTGACAATTAAACTTCATTCTACTTTAATTTTAACAAGATACTTGTGGTGGTAAACAAGCAAAATTGAGTTAATTAATTATTTTGGTTACCTTTTAGTATATTATGATAGACTGTCTCTTATACATATATGGTAAAAGTAACAAAACAATAGTTCAATGTTATGATATATAACATTGTATAAGCCATCAAGTGCAGACATCAGACAGACTTCATCTTAGGCACCAATCTTCAAAAGGTTTGTAGATAAACAGATAGATATGGTGTATATATCAAAGAGACAGCCACCAACAAAACAATAATGATAATTAAAAAAAAATGTAACAAGATGCTGTCCTTTTAAGGGTCATAACTTATAGGTTATTACTATAAATGGAAAGAGCTGGAGCCACCCACCTCTGCTGTACTACCCTTAACTAATAACCAGTTTTTTTTCTGTTAAAATTAAAAATTAAAAACAACTTCGGGTCTTTTTTCGTTACTTAACATTCATTTTTGTACATTTAAAAACACAAATAATTTGATGAAGAATAACATGTGTATTTGGGTTGCTGTCAACTTATTGGCCTAAATTTCATTATAAATACCTTATGATGCTTACCATGCTCACCCTTAGAATTGAGCTCATACCATGTATACAAATAAGACATGGTATGTCTGATTACCATTGAGACAACTCACCACCAGAGATCAAAAGAAGTTAGAAACTATAGGTCACAGAATACCCTACATCTCTTTTATCCATATCCTTCATTGTGTGAGTACATTACAAAATGGTATCAAATTTTGTAGTTTAAAATACCTCGTTAAATTGTTATGTATTTGTATGAAGTATATTATTACATGCATTAGAACAGTCAAAATCCAAGACAGAGGTTGAAATTAAGGGCATACGATACAGTTACAGGGGAGGTAATGATGCTGCTAATGTAAAATGTTATTTACGCTACGTCAAACTGTGACATATCGGGAAAAGATGCATTTTTCGACTGATTTTTATCATTCAGACTGATTTAACTTGAAAACGAGTTCATGAACCCCTCTTTTTTAAATGACATTAGGTTTGATTACATATGAAGATTATTCGTACCAATTTTTATGAAAAAGTCACAGATGAATTTTTTTAAATTAGATAAATATACAGCAAAATATGCCGTTTCTTTTCTAAAATCATGAAACGTTGATAAAAATTAATTATTTCCAAATGTTTTTACAAAAATCTGCTTTTGTTTATCTTTTGAAACAAGAACAAAACTGTATCGTATGCCTAAAAGAATTTTCCTTATTCATACAAGTTTAACTGTGTTTGCTTGGCAAGAAGATTTTAGGCAGGGTCATAGCCAATAGACCAACCAAAAATTACAAATCTAACAAGTGGCAACTTATTTCTCCTACTATATATATCATGTTTATATAAATATAAAATATATATCAGAGCAAGAAAATCTTATAACCTTTACACTACAGCCATGACATCTAGAAGTCCAATAAATATTTATTGAAATATTACACATAAGATAACAAATGGATAAGTACATTGTAACACAAGGTGCAATTCAACTTAAATTTGCCATGTTGTCAACTCATCCTATTTTGTCAAGGTTATCATAATAAATACTGATTAGTATCATTATTTAGAAGATCATGAATATTCTATCATAATTTCATTTTACACAATTAAATATAATTATCTTGAATATATCCATTCGTCATTTTAACTTTACCTACAATCCTGTTATTAGTTTTTTTTGGTATATTAGATTAATTACCATAATTGCCCATTAACATGATTTATGTCATTATCTTTTAAAAGTAAAGCTGTCAAAGAATTTTTTCTGACTGTATATATGATATTCTGATATTCAAGTATTGTGAGACTATTACTAAAAACTAGGGAATATGACTATAAAAGTATAAATAAATGGAAATGTGAGGTATAAACATCAATGAGACAGCAGCCTGAAATCAAAAGAAAACTATAGAACTTAGAAGCCATTTTTAGGTCAAAGTATTTAGGTTCATATTATCTGATAAATCATCCTCATTAGAAAAATCTGTTAATTGTACTGTACATAAATAAAACTACATTGTTACATTCTTATTCTTATCAAGATCTGGGATGGAAATTCCCCTGCCCAGCGTACCCTTGGTCCATAAAATTTAAGCTTGGTTACTAATGTTTTCCACATTTTTGCCAGATCATGTATAACGCTGGGGTAACAAAAATATTGACTGGGCTACCACCTGAAAATTTTAATTTCCATTATTTAGAATCTAGACAGATAGGTTTTCTTTACCTTATTTACAAGCCAAATGTACTGAAAGACCAATCACTTATGCATGTAATTATATACATGTACATCTATATATCAAAACATAATTCAAGGTTTTTAGGTACAAATTCTCATCGAAAATAAAAAAAGTCCACTGGATAGTACTTAAAAGAGCACTTACGAATAAGTACTGATAGGACACCTTGTAATTACATACATGTACTAAGTAGCACCAATGTATACATGGTACATGTATATTACAATGCCTTTGGGGTTTTCTGTCTATCAATTTCATGGAAACGTAACATATGAAAATACATTTAATTCTGTTTTAAATTCTACATCCCCCTTTTTTTATTTATATTCATGTATATCAATTTCCAAACCTGCCTTTAAAGTTAATGTCAAGTTGACCATGAGCATGGTAAGATTGTCAATGTTCACTCATGTTGAGAAAACCTTACAAATTATCTATTAAAAGTCTATTCCAAGGGTTTCCATCAATCCCAAATTCTCACAATTGGCATACATGTATTTTCTTATTTTCAAATTGACAGCCAACTTGTACATATTTTCAATATAGACAAGAAATGATTGTAACAGGATGCTGTTACGAAGTCTCCCGAACGAAGCTCCCATAATTCGTTATTCCCAGGGTCGCCTGACATAGGGCAAAGTCCAGTGAAAATTGGTTTGGTCCAGTAAAGTTATATGCATTAGTGATGCCTGGGGACTAACCCTGTATATCATTCAAATCATCTTGGCATGACAAACCAGAATATATATGGTTTAGGGGTGGGGATCTCGACCATTTACAAGATATTAGAACTTTCTCAAATGGCAGGGGGTCAGGATGACCCCTGGGGACTAACCCTGTATATCATTCAAACCATCTTAGCATGACAAACCAGAATATATATGGTTTAGGGGTGGGGATCTTGACCACTTACAAGATATTAGAACTTTCTTCAATGGCATGGGGTGGGGGTGACCCCTGGGGACTAACCCTATATTTCATTTCATGTGCTTTATCATGACAAACCAGAATATATATGGTTTAGGGGTGGGGATCTCGACCATTTACAAGATATTAGAACTTTCTTTAATGGCAGGGGGTCGGGATGACCCCTGAGGACTAACCCTGTATATCATTCAAACCATCTTAGCATGACAAACCAGAATATATATGGTTTAGGGGTGGGGATCTTGACCACTTACAAGATATTAGAACTTTCTCAAATGGCATAGGGTGGGGGTGACCCCTGGGGACTAACTCTGTATTTCATTTGATTTGCTTTATCATGACAAACCAGAATATATATGGTTGAGGGGTGGGGATCTCGACCATTTACAAGATATTAGAACTTTCTCAAATGGCAGGGGGTCGGGATGACCCCTTGGGACTAACCCTGTATATCATTCAAACCATCTTAGCATGACAAACCAGAATATATATGGTTTAGGGGTGGGGATCTTGACCACTTACAAGATATTAGAACTTTCTCAAATGGCATGGGGTGGGGGTGACCCCTGGGGACTAACCCTGTATTTCATTTCATGTGCTTTATCATGACAAACCAGAATATATATGGTTTAGGGGTGGGGATCTCGACCATTTACAAGATATTAGAATTTTCTCAAATGGCAGGGGGTCGGGATGATCCCTGGGGACTAACCCTGTATATCATTCAAACCATCTTAGCATGACAAACCAGAATATATATGGTTTAGGGGTGGGGATCTCAACCATTTACAAGATATTAGAACTTTCTCAAATGGCAGGGGGTCGGGATGACACCTGGGGACTAACCCTGTATATCATTCAAACTATCTTAGCATGACAAACCAGAATATATATGGTTTAGGGGTGGGGATCTTGACCACTTACAAGGTATTAGAACTTTCTTAAATGGCAGGGGGTGGGGATGACCCCTGGGGACTAACCCTGTACTTCATTTCATGGGTTTTATCATTTGGAACATTTTCAATTAAAAAGATTGTGTCTATCACAAACAGTTTTCAATTTATAATCATTTGAAAATTTAAAAAAATAAAATCCCATAGGGTTCTATAGTAAAACCCTCTTTTCTTTTTGCCCCTCAAAGTACCCCTTTATAAACCCCATTGCACAAACAAAACCCTGATTGCACCACTAGACATGTTAGTCTAACATATTGTGAAACCCTAAGTTAATCTGACAAGCGGTTTTGGAGAACGGGTGCGGACAAGTTCAAATTTAAAAGCGGCGGAAGAGGTAGGAAGAGGAAGAAGAATAATAATAATAATAACAAGAAATGATTGTAACAGGATGCTGTTACGAAGTCTCCCAAACGAAGCTCCCATAATTCGTAATTCCCAGGGTCGCCTGACATTGGGCAAAGTCTAGTGAAAATTGGTTTGGTCCAGTAAAGTTATATGCATTAGTGATGCATGGGGACTAACCCTGTATATCATTCAAATCATATTGGCATGACAAACCAGAATATATATGGTTTAGGGGTGGGGATCTCGACCATTTACAAGATATTACAACTTTCTCAAATGGCAGGGGGTCGGGATGATCCCTGGGGACTAACCCTGTATATCATTCAAACCATCTTAGCATGACAAACCAGAATATATATGGTTTAGGGGTGGGGATCTTGACCACTTACAAGATATTAGAACTTTCTTAAATGGCATAGGGTGGGGGTGACCCCTGGGGACTAACCCTGTATTTCATTTGATTTGCTTTATCATGACAAACAAGAATATATATGGTTTAGGGGTGGGGATCTCGACCATTTACAAGATATTACAACTTTCTCAAATGGCAGGGGGTTGGGATGACCCCTGGGGACTAACCCTGTATATCATTCAAACCATCTTAGCATGACAAACCAGAATATATATGGTTTAGGGGTGGGGATCTTGACCACTTTCAAGACATTAGAACTTTCTTAAATGGCATGGGGTGGGGGTGACCCCTGGGGACTAACCCTGTATTTCATTTCATGTGCTTTATCATGACAAACCAGAATATATATGGTTTAGGGGTGGGGATCTCGACCATTTACAAGATATTACAACTTTCTCAAATGGCAGGGGGTCGGGATGACCCCTGGGGACTAACCCTGTATATCATTCAAACCATCTTAGCATGACAAACCAGAATATATATGGTTTAGGGGTGGGGATCTTGACCACTTACAAGATATTAGAGCTTTCTTAAATGGCATAGGGTGGGGGTGACCCCTGGGGACTAACCCTGTATTTCATTTGATTTGCTTTATCATGACAAACAAGAATATATATGGTTTAGGGGTGGGGATCTCGACCATTTACAAGATATTACAACTTTCTCAAATGGCAGGGGGTTGGGATGACCCCTGGGGACTAACCCTGTATATCATTCAAACCATCTTAGCATGACAAACCAGAATATATATGGTTTAGGGGTGGGGATCTTGACCACTTTCAAGACATTAGAACTTTCTTAAATGGCATGGGGTGGGGGTGACCCCTGGGGACTAACCCTGTATTTCATTTCATGTGCTTTATCATGACAAACCAGAATATATATGGTTTAGGGGTGGGGATCTCCACCATTTACAAGATATTACAACTTTCTCAAATGGCAGGGGGTCGGGATGACCCCTGGGGACTAACCCTGTAAATCATTCAAACCATCTTAGCATGACAAACCAGAATATATATGGTTTAGGGTAGGGGATCTTGACCACTTACAAGATATTAGAACTTTCTTAAATGGCATGGGGTGGGGGTGACCCCTGGGGACTAACCCTGTATTTCATTTCATGTGCTTTATCATGACAAACCAGAATATATATGGTTTAGGGGTGGGGATCTCGACCATTTACAAGATATTACAACTTTCTCAAATGGCAGGGGGTCGGGATGACCCCTGGGGACTAACCCTGTATATCATTCAAACCATCTTAGCATGACAAACCAGAATATATATGGTTTAGGGGTGGGGATCTCGACCATTTACAAGATATTACAACTTTCTCAAATGGCAGGGGGTCGGGATGACCCCTGGGGACTAACCCTGTATATCATTCAAACCATCTTAGCATGACAAACCAGAATATATCTGGTTTAGGGGTGGGGATCTTGACCACTTACAAGGTATTAGAACTTTCTTAAATGGCAGGGGGTGGGGATGACCCCTGGGGACTAACCCTGTATTTCATTTAATGGGTTTTATCATTTAGAACATTCTCAATTAAAAAGATTGTGTCTATTACAAACGGTTTTCAATTTATAATCTTTTGAAAATTAAAAAAAATAAAATCCCATAGGGTTCTATAGTAAAACCCTCTTTTCTTTTTGCCCCTCAAAGTACCCCTTTATAAACCCCATTGCACAAACAAAACCCTGATTGCACCACTAGACATGTTAGTCTAACATATTTTGAAACCCTAAGTTAATCTGACAAGCGGTTTTGGAGAACGGGTGCGGACAAGTTCAAATTTAAAAGCGGCGGAAGAGGAAGAGGAAGAAGAATAATAATAATAATAAGAACTGAGCAAAAACAATAAGTCTTCCCAAACTTCGTTTGGGAGACTTAATAAGAACTGAGCAAAAACAATAAGTCTTCCCAAACTTCGTTTGGGAGACTTAAATATAAGAATAAGGAGATAAAAATTGACACTGATACATGTATCTAGAGGATCCAAACATTTCTCCATGCTCACAGAACACTACATTGTCAAGGGTATGGCCTCATGGACCTTGCTATAAAATATTGGGGTGTTTGCTCTCTATTATATAATTGTAAACATGGTAAATATGTTAAAAGATAGAACTTCCATCATATGTTAAGTAATTTGTGTGATAAAATTTTTGAAACAATAGTGCACACACTGAAATGTCTGGCCTGCTTTACTACTATTGATTTTATGTTGATATCCCTAAATATAAAGTTTTACTACAAGTATCACTTTAACTTAACATGATCCAAGAAAAAAAGGTCAAGGTCAGATTATAAACTAAGCCAGAAATACAGTTACACCTTACAATCATTCCATACATTGAATATAGTTGACCTATTGCTTATAATATACAAGAAACAGACCAAACTATGAAAACTTTATATTGACCAATGAACCATGAATGTGAGGTCAAGGTCAGATGAACCCTGCCAGACAGACATCTACACTTTACAATCATTCCATGGATCAAATATAGTTGACACGTATCAAATATAGTATTTAAGAAACAAACTTAACCAGGAAAAACTTAACATTGACCAAGGAACCATGAAAATGAGATCAAGGTCAGATGATACTTGTCAGACAGACATAGAAACCTTAGTCATTCCATACACCAAATATAGTTGACCTATTGCTTATAGATTAAGAAAAACAGACCAAAACACAAATATTTAACATTGAGCAATAAACCGTGAAAATGAGGTCAAGGTCAAATAAAACCTGCCAGACTGACATGTACATCGTAAAATATTTCCATACACCAAATATATCTGACCTATTGCATATAGTATTAGAAAAACAGACCAAAACACAAAAACTTAACTTTAACAACTGAACCATGAAAATGAGGTCAAGGTGAGATGACACCTGCCAGTTGGACATGTACACCTTACAATCATTCCATAAATACACCAAATATAGTAGACCTATTGCTTATAGTATCTGAGATGTGGACTTGAACACGAAAACTTAACCTTGTTCATGTTGTTCACTGATCCATGAAATGAGGTCCAGGTCAAGTGAAAACTGTCTGATAGGCATGAGGACCGTGCAAGGTATGCACATACCAAATATAGTAATCCTATTAATCATAGTAAGAGAGAAATTAACATTACGAAAAATCATAACTTTTTTTTTCAAGTAGTCACTGAACCATGAAAATGAGGTCAAGGACAATTGACATATGACAGACAGAAACTTCATAAAATAAGGCATCTATATACAAAGTATGAAGCATCAAGGTCTTCTACCTTCTGAAGTATTACGCTTTTAATAAGTTTAGTTAATGCCGCCGCTGCCGCGTTTGGTCTCTGGTGGAGCGTTGTCTCATTGGCAATCATACCACATAGATCTTCTTATTTCTATGTAATGAAAGCAATTAACTTCCACTACTTCCACTACTTCAAACTTCCCCTCAACATTGATGTTGTCTCTGGTACATTTTAATCTCCCCCATATTCGTTCTTTTCAAAATCTTTCTACGTGTTATTTTGTAGACATTTATACCTACCCAACAGTGACTCCACTACTCCTTCTAACTGGTGGTCTAGTTAGAATAGATGTAATCGAAGGAGATGTATCTGACTTAGAAATGGGTGGTGCTGACTTTGGAGGAACATCTCCCGGCGACCGAGGAGCATCAAACGGGATACACGTCATAGAATGTCTTAGTGGTGGTGGTCGGTCAGCTTTCTTAAGCACTGACCGTAGTGTCACTTCAGGAGATGTCACATTCAATAAATTCTCCTTGATTGGAGAAGTTGGAGATTTGACACTGTCATGAAATTCCCTCATTCCAGAGATGGGACTGCAGCTTTCATTAGCATCAGAATTTCTCCTGGAATTACTTGTACTAGAATGTATTGATGAACATCCACTTTTCACTTGTTCCTCAATTGAACGAATTAAAGTTTTAACAGACTGAATTTGATTTTTGTCATTTTTGGCTCTCAGCATGCTCAGGGAACCTAACTCCTTATCAACAGTGTTGATGACTTTGCCCTTCAATTCTGCAGATAAAATGGATTTAGAAGTAATTTTCTCCTCAACAAACTTTTGAGATTTCATATTTTCCATTTCAATATTGTAGCGATCAATTTCACTGTTTAGTTTATTGCACTTTTCTTTCAACTGAGCATTGTCGTGTTGCAATTGTTCCATGTCATCCTGCGTCTCAACACGGAAGTCGTTTGCAACAAGCACAGCCGTTTGTAAATCTTTCTGAAATTGTTTCCATTCCTCGGTTTCTTCACAATACTTTCCTTTCACTTCACTCAATTCAACCTCCATTGCAGATTTCTGAGATTGAATCTCCTTTAACTGTGACTTAGCTTCTTTCAATTCTTTCAAATATTCCTTTTTCTCATTTAAATACTGTTCACAGTCTTGTTCTAATTGATCGATATGCTCTCTCAACGATTCATTTTGATTTTGATTTTCAGACTTTTCCTTTTCTAATTTATCAACTTTAAATTCCAAACTACTAACACTACTTCTAGAATTATTTTTCAACGATTTAATTTCCTCATCTTTTTGTTGACAGATTTCTTTTACTCTTGACATTTCACTTTGCGTATGTAACAACACTTCCTTCATATTTGCCAGTTTCTCTTCGATTTTGTCTTTTTCTTGTCGGGTTTTATGTAATACTTCCTCCAGTTCAGACTGATTGTCAGTTTTCAAACATTGTTCCAGTTCCTTCACTTTAGTTTTCTCATTTTCAAGTAATGTCTTGAAATGATCGACTTCAATCTTTTCATTTGCTACAGACTGTTTAAATTCTATTATAGTAACTTCTTGCATCTCCTTTTCAGCCTTCAAAGCACTATTTTTATCCTCCAAGAGCTGAACTTTATCTCTGAGAGCATCATTAACATCCTGCAACTCTTTATGCTCGTGATCATAAGCATTTAGCGCATTAGACAGTTCAATTTGTTTGCGTAACAATTCCTCCCGTTCTTCCTGAGCACACTTTAATAGTTCCAACAATTGCTGCTCCCTTTCTGATCTTTCTGGGAAATTCCCACTAATGAGTAAAGCTTTAAGTTGCTCAATTTGAGTCCGACAATGTTCTAATTTTTCTGTCTGTGTGCACAAAGATTCGAGCAGGATAAATTTTTCACTCGTTAATTGTTCATTATCATCCGTTAGTTCGTTCACACTGTGTTGAAGATCACCAAGTTCTTGTAACGTAGCTTGAAGTTCTTCATTTGTACTATAGTGACTCTCCTCCATTTGTAAAATTCTTTCAGTCAAGCAGACGACAGAAATTTCACTCAAACCATCACTACTCTTACTACTAGCTTTGTCCCAGTGGTGATCAGCGAAACCAGATGGATGTTCTGGTGTACTGCAATGATCGAAAAACATTCCCGGTTCCGACGTTGTCATTGACACAGCCCTATCTCTCTCCACATGATCATCTTTGCCGACAGAGAATGCAACAGCACGGACTCCATCAGTAGATAAACTGTCACAGCTCATACTCTTAGGTACAGCAACTTCTCCAATTGCTCCTTCTGAAGCTTTACTCTTATTTGAATTATTATTGTTTTTCTGTAGTTTTGATAATTTTTCAGTGTCAGTGATTTGTTCATATGGATGTCCAAGTTCTTTCAGTTGATCTTTCATCATCTGATTTTCCTTTTTCAAAAATCCAAGTTCGTCCTTAAGATCATGTGATGGTATTTGTTCTTTCAATCTTTTCGTTTCATATTTATATTTTTCAATTTCAGCTTTTCTGTTTTCTGTCACTTGTATCAATTCTGAAATTCTCTTTTCCAATAATTTTTTGTCTTTTTCAAAATTTGCCAAAAGTTCTGCATTGTAAGCCATGACATCAGCAGGAGCAGAAGTCCGTTTCCTTGACAACTTGTCCTTACTGACATTCTGAGTACTGTGTGCTCTTTTTATACTCTGCATTCTATTAAAAGCTGCCATGGTCTTGGTGGATGAATTGCTTGTCTTATCAATGTGCTGAATACTAGATGCTTTCCTAATCGGTGTAAGAGGCATAGCCTTTACAGGTTTAGGTTTTGCAAATCCATCATTTTTGTGCTTATTCAGATTTTCTTTATTGCTGCTCTTTTTAGGGTCTGTACCTTTCGGAATCCCAAGACTAGATTTTGGCCGATGGTCAATGTAAGCTGACAGCTTCCTCTTCTGATGACTAGATAAGTTTTCATGACTTTTACTGAGGAAAGGTTTTCCTAAAGGGGAAGCAACAGTCCTAACGGGAGTTCTTGTCTTAGCTACAGAACTCAGATCTGAGTTAGCTGAATGTGAATGTTTCATTGCTGTTGGTGTTGTGGTAGATATAGGCTTAGCCTTAACCGGCCGTATTGGAGTAGATGTTCGCTCCATCATTCCAGGTTTCATTTTGAAGCCTCTAGATGATCGATATCATTTGTTTTAGTTGCAACCTGAAAAATACAAACAAATCATATTTAGTAATGACACATTTAATCTAACACTTCAAAGGTAATATTTTCCAAAAAATTATTTAAATATTTTCCTTAAAAAATCTACTTCAAAAGATTTTGACTTAGATCTTGACCTCAAAGTATAAATATTTGTCATTAACACAGCACGTCTGCATCCTTAGAAATGGAATCTACAATCTATAACTTCTCTCACAGTCAAATATGAAAATAGAAGCTGAAAATAAAAACAAGAATCATTAGTTATTTTGTTTGAAGTACCTCAGAAATCAAATCTTACTAAATGTCCTTTGATGGGACAATAAATCCATAAAAACAACATTTTCTGTTTGATGAGAACTTCAACTGCTCTTGTAAATCATCTAAGAAACATTGATAAGAAATGTATTACCATCTGTGACAGAAATGTTTGAGTACTGATAATTAGGAGAAACCATGTAACAAGTAAAATATCAATCAATGTACCATTCCGTCATACAAAAACATCTGTTTTAAAGTACACAATGATGCATGATATAAATACAGCATCTCACTACACTCCTGTCACTAGGCTAATATTTTCAAGCAAATTAGATTTCAGAAGAGTAATGAGATTGTTTTTTGTACATTTTTTTTCTCTAAACAATAAAAATTTGTAATTAGGTAGCAAGATTGAAAATGATTCACATTTAATATGCTGTTTTACATAATTTCCCCATGAAAATTTAATGTACATGCACATGTATTTCCCATACCTTGTTCAATAATTTTGTAATAAATGGTTCGTGTTGGATAAAAAAAAAATTATATGTAAAGAAGATATGTTTGGTAAAAAATAACATGAAAAGTTAGGTCAACCAAATAAAACGTGTTTGGTAACTTGAATATCATAATATAACTCTACACCATTATGTAATATATAAACCAAAAAATTGACATTGTCACAAAAAAAAAATACATTGATAAAACTTTCCAAAAGAAAAGTAATTGATACATATAAAACGAGAAATTTCTCTATAGTATACTTACAACACATAGAATTAATCTTCTTTAAAATCTACCCATTATCCTTGAGCCACTACATGTATAATCTATATTCAATAAATGACTTATCTATACAAGTATCAGCTGATACATGTACATGTAATTATTTCCCAGATCTACATGTGACATTATATAATTCTCAAATCCACTAAGACTCCACTATCTCAATGAAATCCATTTTATTCACACAATCTGTTTCCTTAACCTTGAGGCACCTACAGGGAAGTGGTTTTCAATGATGTAACTCAATATTAACACATCAAGGAATTAAATATTTTACTACAAAAGACAACTTACATAGATCTCAATTTTGTGACAATACATTACAACAGCTGTAAACATGAACACCTTCCTCAATTATCCCATTATAGAGCCGAAAGTAGGACAGAAAGTGGTTGAAAGTCACAAGAGAAAAAGTCATAATTTAATTTTGAGATTATTTTTTTCTTTACAAATGACATTCTATTGAAATCATTTTTGTAATTTTCTTTAATTGTCATATATACATTATTAACAAAATTTATTGTCAAAATTTAATGATGTCAGATTAAAAATTTGATAAGAAAACAAACTATCAATGGGGATTGTTAATCGGCTGGCTTACATGGTGCCAAGAAGTATATACATCCTTTCTAAGATCAAAATTTGACAAATCTTAATTTAACAATTGATGCTAATTAACAATTTCCTAAACTGTAAAAGTGTAAATCAAATTTATCTTAGAGAAAAAAATATTTTGAAGAATTTTCTCTGACACTTTCAAACAATGGTAACTTTTTGTTCTATCAAATGTGTGACTTTCTGTCCTATAACTTTTTGTCCTGTGGTTTTGGGCCTTCCCCACCAGTGGCAGCGTACAGTGTAATATAACAACATTATCTTAGAGAAAGAAATCTTTTGAAGAATTTCCTTTGACAAATTCAAACAATGGTAACTTTTTGTCCTATCAATTTTGTCCCTCAAATTTACTGTCCTGTGGGTTTCTGTCTGTTTACCTATTGGGCCTCCCCACCAGTGTAATAAAGATATTACAGAAATTAATGTCCCACTGATTGACAGGTGTGACAGATGTAGGAGACACATACTTCTTAATTAAGACATTAGAACATGCCCCCTGTGGCTAAAATAAGACTAATTAATGTACAATCAGTCCCCAATTTAGTATTTACTATGCATTTATTATAACCTTACAAAACATCCCAATAATTAGGCCATAGTAAACAAAACTTGTGTTCAGGCTTTTCTTACCGTCCCTGTTTAGTTATTATGTCTCATAATGCATATTGATTTTGTATATTGGTACTTTGTGTAGTGTGATTCGTTACAAAGCTGAAGGTCTCAATCCTATATACTGTAGATTCTTTACTATTCACAGGGTACCAAATTTCTTGTATTTTGTGGTTATTGGTAAACCACAAAGGAGTATGTTCACAAAGGGTTAAAATTGGCCCTGAAATTTTGATGTTTTTTTAATCATGCCAAAATACTACAAATTTCAAATAGAAGTAGTTGTGATATTACTTACTATTAGTACAAAATAACTTCATTTTGGCACATCATATAAGTGATTGATTGATTGGTGATTGCTTTACTCCGCATCAGCACAACTAGAGGCTCTAAAGAGCCTGTGTCGCTCACCTTGGTCTATGTGCATATTAAACAAAGGACACAGGTGGATTCATGACAAAATTGTGTTTTGGTGATGGTGATGTGTTTGTAGATCTTACTTTACTGAACATTCTTGATGCTTACAATTATCTCTATCTATAATGAACTTGGCACTGTAGTTTCAGTGGAAATTATTTTGTAAAAATTTACAAAATTTATGAAAATTGTTAAAAATTTATTATAAAGGGCAATAACTCCTTAAGGGGTCAATTGACCATTTTGGTCATGTGACTTATTTGTAGGTCTTACTTTGCTGTACATTATTGCTCTTTACAGTTTATCTCTATCTATAATAATATTCAAGATAATAACCAAAAAATTTTGAAAAATTACCAATTCAGGGGCAGCAACCCAACAACGGGTTGCCTGAATGGTCTGAAAATTTAAGGCCAGATAGATCTTGACCTAATAAACAATTTTGTTTTTGAAAGATTTGCTAGAAATGCTTTGGGTTTAGATATATGAGCCAAAAACTGCATTTTACCTTATGTACTATTATTAGCCATGTCGGCCATCTTGGTTTGAGGGCGGGGTCATCAAACACAATTTTTAAACTACATACCCTAATGATGATTGTTTACAACTTTAGTTAAATTCATCTTAGTAGTTTCAGAGGAGAAGATTTTTGTAAAAGATAACAAAAATTTACGAAAAAATTGTTAAAAATTGACTATAAAAGAGCAATAACTCCTTAAGGGGTCAACTGACCATTTTGGTCATGTTGACTTATTTGTAGAACTTACTTTGTTGAACATTATTGCTGTTTACAGTTTATCTCTATCTATAATAATATTCAAGATAATAACCAAATAAGGCAAAATTTCCTTAAAATTACTAATTCAGGGGCAGCAACCTAACAACGGGTTGTCCGATTCATCTGAAAATTTCAGGGCAGATAGATCTTGAGCTAATAAACATTTCTACCCTTTGTCAGATTTGCACTAAATGCGTTGGTTTCAGAGATATAAGCCAAAATCTACATTTTATCCCTATGTTCTATTTTTAGCCATGGCGGCCATCTTGGTTAGTTGGCTGGGTCACCGGACACATTTTTTAAACTAGATACCCTAATGATGATATTGGCCAAGTTTGGTTAAATTTGGCCCAGTAGTTTCAGAGGAGAAGATTTTTGTAAAAGTTTACGGACGACGGACGACGGACGACGGACGCCAAGTGATGAGAAAAGCTCACTTGGCCCTTTGGGCCAGGTGAGCTAAAAAGGCTATATCGCGACGAGAGCTATTTCAAATATTATAACAAGACGTTTGTTTTTAAAATCAGACAAAAAGTCTCACATCATGTTATAAATGGTGAAGTAATAACCCCATAAGTATGCATTATTTGTGTTGAAACGTCAGTTTTGGTCAAATTTCCCATAATTATTAGTAGTTTTTAGCATAATTAACTTTGGCCGCCACCCCTGATCCAGAAAATTTGTGTGTTTAGGGATTCAATTTCGATAATTGACATCTTTTGGTTACAAAATATTTTGGATCGTAGGTTGTGGCGACGGGTTTCCTGAAGCCTCTAGGTCTAAAAATGCAAAAAATCATCAAATTTTGAAAATATATCCAAATTATGCACGACTTTGAAGCCCAAAATGTACTCTTATCATTATGAAGAGATTTGATTAACCTAGTAGTAAGGTTTTTGAAATCGATCCATTAAAGAACAAAATTATTTTATGATAAAGTTGAAATTCAAGGCCATACTTGGCCTAAAGTGAACCTTGTCCTTTAAGTGTTCAACGAAGTACAAATTCCCTACAGCCTTGTTTGCCAACTTTGGCAAAACCACGGAACCTCAAATCTACGAAAATACGATCTTTCTTCCTCATGTTTCAATCAACAAAAATCAGTACATGTACCCACAAAATAAAAGAATTCATACTACTTAAGGTACATCAAATTTCAATTGAGCAAAGTAAAAAAAGAACTTTTTTCTAAGTCTAAATAACAAGTATGAAGTTCAAAGCCTTTGTACATCAAGTAATGTTTTTCACTTGTCAAATGATCTATTTATGACTTCCTTTGATAAATGTTCAATGAAATAATGACACACTGATTTTATTCATAAAAGTTAAAGGATTGTACTTGTACAATCTCAGTAAAATACTTAACTTTGTAATATTTGCAGAAATATGTCAAACCATCAACTCTTACATGTATTTTGGAATCCAGTATAAGAAAATTTTAATTTTCTTGTTTTTTTTTGTTTTTTTTTTAATGTGAATTGTTATCTATAAAAGGAATTTTACTATCTTTAGAATTTCAGAATCTACCTTGTATGGG